CTTCTTCATGTTCCTGTCGTACCTGGCGATGGAGTACATCCGCTACGAAACTCCTGACAACGTCGATGTGTCGGACAAGTCGGCCGAGCTTGAGAACTCGTACGTACTCGCCGAAACACCGAAGGGTGCAAAACGTGGTGCCGACGCGGTCGTTGATCTTCCCGTTCACACGCGTGAGAAGAACTTCGTACCGGTGACTGTGGCGTTCCAGGATTTGCACTACTGGGTGCCGGACCCTCACAACCCGAAGGAGCAACTCGAGCTGCTCAAGGGCATCAACGGTTTTGCTGTCCCCGGTTCGATCACTGCGCTGATGGGCTCTACTGGTGCCGGTAAGACGACGCTAATGGACGTGATCGCCGGCCGCAAGACTGGTGGCAAGATCACGGGCAGGATCATGCTGAACGGCTATGAGGCGACTGACCTGGCCATTCGCCGCTGCACGGGCTACTGTGAGCAGATGGACGTGCACTCGGAGGCGGCCACGATTCGCGAGGCCTTGACTTTCAGCTCTTTCCTGCGCCAGGATGCATCGATCTCGGACGCCAAGAAGTACGACTCCGTGGACGAATGCATCGAACTGCTCGGACTTGAAGACATCGCAGACCAGATCATCCGTGGCAGCTCCGTGGAGCAGATGAAGCGACTGACGATCGGTGTGGAGCTTGCTGCTCAGCCGAGTGTGATTTTCCTGGACGAGCCGACGAGTGGCCTGGACGCGCGTTCGGCCAAGATCATCATGGACGGTGTCCGTAAGGTGGCCGACTCGGGTCGTACGATTATCTGTACCATTCACCAGCCCTCGGCTGAGGTGTTCTACCTGTTCGACAGACTGTTGCTGCTGCAGCGCGGTGGCCAGACCGCGTTCTACGGTGACTTGGGTGAGGACTGCCGCAACTTGATCGACTACTTCGAGAACATCCCCGGCGTGGCCCCGCTTCCAGTCGGATATAACCCCGCGACGTGGATGCTGGAGTGCATTGGCGCCGGTGTGGGCCACGGATCCAAGGACTCGATGGACTTCGTGAGCTACTTCAAGAACAGTCCGTACAACCAGCAACTGGAGACGACGATGGCGAAGGAAGGCATCACTACCCCGTCCCCAGACCTCCCGGAGATCGTCTTCGGCAAGAAGCGTGCGGCCAGCTCCATGACGCAGATGAAGTTCGTCGTGTGGCGGTTCTTCCAGATGTACTGGCGAACACCGAGCTACAACCTCACGCGCATGTACCTGGCCATCTTCTTGGCGTTGCTCTTCGGCCTGATCTTCGTCGGCAACGACGACTACGCGTCGTACTCGGGCCTGAACTCGGGCGTCGGCATGGTCTTCATGTCTTCGTTCTTCAGCTCGATGGCCGTGTTCCAGAGCGTGATGCCTCTCACGTGCGCCGAGCGCCAGTCTTTTTACCGTGAGCGCGCAAGTCAGACTTTCAATGCGTTCTGGTACTTCATGGCCTCGACGCTGGCGGAGATCCCGTACTGCTTCGTCAGCTCGCTGCTGTTCACCGTCGTTTTCTACTGGTTCGTGGGCTTCACGGGGTTCTGGACGGCTGTGGTGTTTTGGCTCGAGTCCGCTCTGCTGGTGCTGATGTTCGTGTACTTGGGCCAGTTCTTCGCGTACGCCATGCCGTCGGAGGAGGTCGCTCAGATCACCGGCATCCTCTTCAACTCGATCTTCATGATGTTCATCGGCTTCAGCCCTCCGGCCTACGCGATCCCGTCGGGCTACACGTGGCTGTACGACATCTGCCCCTTCAAGTTCCCCATCGCCAACCTCATCGCGCTCGTGTTCGCCGACTGCGACGAGCTGCCGACGTGGAACGAGGCCACCCAGTCGTACGAGAACGTGGGCTCGCAGCTCGGCTGCCAGCCGATGGCCGACGCTCCGGAGACCGTGGGCCACATCACCATCAAGGAGTACACGGAGGAGTACTTCGGCATGAAGCACCACCAGATCGCGCGCAACTTCGGCATCACGCTCGGCATCATCGTGCTGTTCCGCATCTGGGCCGCGCTGGCGTTGCGCTTCATCAACCACCAGAAAAAGTGAGTTTGGCAACCTGTAGATGAGCTTTTCGATATGAATACAAGTGTGTTGCCGTTGTACTTCAGCTGTAAAGTACCCTTCGGTACGGCTTCTGCTTCCGCATCCGAGTTCTTATGTAGTGCGAGCCTGCTGTCTGCTGACGCCACCGGGAAAACTCGCCAGTCGCTAAGCGGCACCACCGAACTCGCCGACATGTCGGTGCGGTGGTGCCGCCGTGGTGGTAATGGCCGACACATTGCCCACGAGGCCGCGGCCAGCGGAGACCATGGCGGGCGAGCGGAAGCGCTCCATCCTAAGGAAGCGGGCGAAAGCTCGGCGGACACTAGGGAGAGCGCTTCATGCCGCTATGGGTTACGAACCAAGGTGGAATGGTTGCTGTGGTTACGAACCAAGGCGGCAGGCAGCTTTGGTGGACCGAAAGCAATCCGCGAGCAATTGGTCGAAACAAAAGGTCCTTTTTGCGGAGTGATGGTCCCAGCCATCATCATGACCCGACTATGCACCTGACGCGAATGCTCCTGCCATCATCAAAATGACGTACGAATTGTGTGCCACTCGGCGTTCCTTCAGTTTGCAGCAAGATATTCCCAATTGTTGCATTTCGAAAGCAATGAATTTGTCGACTAGCTGCATGCCATACGTTACAATAGGATCTCCATGCTACGTTCACCACGCTAGCTCATGCACAGTCATATTTTTTTTCGGAAGCTAACGATTTCGTTAGCATGACTTTTTGATAAGTAGGCGGCGACACGCTGCTGATCCAGTGCTGGAGCCTCACGAAAAAGAGGCTTGATGATGCTCGAGCCCTATCCGTTCTCGCGATAATGCGGCACAATGGCGGTACAGCTCCAGCCGGTTTGACAAATCCATACATTTTCCCATATAAGTCGTCCGTCAAGGATTGTGTCCACCATAGACGATGTAACCGGCGTGTCTCCGGATACTTCAGCCTCGCTGAAGGCTGAAGCCTGAAGCGCGAAGCGCTTGGCGCGCGTCGAGCAGCTCATTCTGCATTTTACATTCAAGGACTCAAGTCGATCCCCAAGCAACCGACTGATCTCCGATGGAAGACGCTGACAAGCTCAAGCATCTCGGCTACGAGTCGGGCGCGGCCCTGATGGCCCACGGCCCGCACGAGCTGCACCGCCACATGGCCACCAAGCTGGAGGCGGCCTTGGGCCACAGCATGCCCCAGATGGACGTGCGCTTCAGAAATCTGTCCCTGAGCGCCGACATCGTCGTAGTCGACAACGACGGCTCCAAGCACGAGCTGCCGACCATCCCGAACGAGCTCAAGAAGGTGTTCGTCGGCCCCAAGAAGCGCACGGTGCGCAAGGAGATCCTCAAGGACATCAGCGGCGTGTTCAAGCCGGGCAAGCTCACCCTGTTGCTGGGCCAGCCCGGCTCGGGCAAGTCGGCCTTGATGAAGATGCTCAGTGGCCGCTTCCCCATTGAGAAGAACATCACAGTGGAGGGCGACATCACCTTCAACAACGTGCCTCGTGAGGAGACCATCCAGACGCTGCCCCAGTTCGTGTCGTACGTGAACCAGCGCGACAAGCACTACCCCACGCTGACCGCCAAGGAGACGCTCGAGTTCGCGCACAAGTTCTGCGGCGGTGAGTACATGCGTCGCGGTGAAGAACTGTTCTCCAAGGGCTCCGAGAAGGAGAACCTGGAGGCCCTTGAAGCCACCAAGGCCCACTTCGCACACTACCCGGAGATCGTGATCCAGCAGCTTGGACTGCAGAACTGCCAGGACACCATCGTTGGTGATGCCATGCTCCGCGGTATCTCCGGTGGTGAGCGCAAGCGCGTGACGACTGGTGAGATGGAGTTCGGCATGAAGTACGTGTCGCTCATGGACGAGATCAGCACGGGTCTCGACAGTGCCGCCACCTACGACATCATCAGCACGCAGCGCAGCGTCGCCCACACTCTCCACAAGAACGTGGTGATTGCGCTGCTTCAGCCGTCCCCGGAGGTGTTTTCGCTGTTCGACGACGTCATGATCCTGAACGAGGGTGAACTCATGTACCACGGACCTTGCGACCGTGTTCAGGACTACTTCGACAGCCTGGGCTTCTTCTGCCCGCCTGAGCGCGATATTGCTGACTACCTGCTGGACCTGGGCACGAACGAGCAGTACCGCTACCAGGTGCCGAACTTCGCGACCAAGCAGCCTCGTCGTGCCAGCGAGTTTGCCGACCTGTTCAAGCGGTCGGACATCCACCAGGAGATGCTGCGCGCTCTGGACGCCCCTCACGCCCCCGAGCTGTTGCAAATTGCCAGTGAAAACATGAAGCCGATGCCGGTGTTCCACCAGTCCTTCCTGGAGAGCACCATGACGCTGCTGCGGCGCCAGCTCATGATCACCTACCGCAACAAGCCGTTCGTCTTCGGCCGACTGACGATGATCATCGTCATGGGACTGCTGTACTGCACGACATTCTACCAGTTCGACCCGACGCAGATGTCGGTGGTCATGGGTGTCATTTTCTCGTCCATTCTGTTCCTGTCCATGGGTCAGTCGTCGCAGATCCCGACGTACATGGCCGAGCGTGACATCTTCTACAAGCAGCGCGGCGCCAACTTCTTCCGCACGGCGTCCTACGTGCTGGCCACGTCGGCCAGTCAGATCCCGTTGGCCATCGCTGAGTCGCTCATTTTCGGCACGCTCATCTACTGGGTCTGTGGCTTCGACTCGAACGTTGCCAAGTTCATCATCTTCGTGGTCGTGCTGTTCCTCATGAACCTGGCCATGGGAATGTGGTTCTTCTTCCTGTCTGCGGTTGGCCCCAACACGAACGTTGTGACGCCTCTGGGTATGGTCTCCACGCTGATCTTCATCATCTTCGCGGGCTTCGTTGTGACCAAGAGCCAAATTCCCGACTACCTCATCTGGGCGCATTGGATTAGCCCAATGAGCTGGAGTCTGCGCGCCCTCGCCATCAACCAGTACCGGTCCGACACCTTCAACGTGTGCGTGTACGACGGCATCGACTACTGCTCCGAGTACGGCGGACTCACGATGGGCGAGTACTACCTGGGCCTGTTCGGCATCGAGACGGGCAAGGAGTGGATCGCCTACGGCATCATCTACACGGTCGTTATCTACGTGGTCTTCATGTTTCTGTCGTTCCTGGCGCTCGAGTTCCTGCGCTACGAAGCCCCCGAAAACGTCGATGTTTCTGAGAAGATGGTTGAAGACGACTCCTACACGCTTGTGAAGACGCCCAAGGGTGTTAACAAGGCCAACGGCGACGTCGTTCTCGACCTTCCTGCTGCCGACCGCGAGAAGAACTTCACCCCCGTCACGGTTGCGTTCCAGGACCTGCACTACTTCGTTCCCGACCCGAAGAACCCCAAGCAAGAGCTCGAGCTGCTCAAGGGCATCGACGGTTTTGCTGTCCCCGGATCGATCACCGCGCTCATGGGCTCTTCGGGTGCCGGTAAGACGACGTTGATGGATGTGATCGCTGGCCGCAAGACCGGCGGCAAGATCACGGGCAAGATCCTGCTGAACGGCTACGAGGCCAACGATCTGGCCATTCGTCGTTGCACGGGCTACTGCGAGCAGATGGACGTGCACTCGGAGGCGGCCACGATTCGCGAGGCCTTGACTTTCAGCTCTTTCCTGCGCCAGGATGCATCGATCCCGGCCGCCAAGAAGTACGACTCGGTGAACGAGTGCATTGAGCTGCTTGGACTTGAAGACATCGCAGACCAGATCATCCGTGGCAGCTCGGTGGAGCAGATGAAGCGACTGACGATCGGTGTGGAGCTTGCTGCTCAGCCGAGTGTGATTTTCCTGGACGAGCCGACGAGTGGCCTGGACGCGCGTTCGGCCAAGATCATCATGGACGGTGTCCGTAAGGTGGCCGACTCGGGCCGCACCATTATCTGTACGATCCACCAGCCTTCGTCGGAGGTGTTCTACCTGTTCGACAGCCTGCTTCTGCTGAAGCGTGGTGGTGAGACTGTGTTCTTCGGAGACCTGGGCCAGAACTGCCGCAACTTGATCGACTACTTTGAGAACATCCCTGGCGTGGTGCCGCTGCCCAAGGGCTACAACCCTGCGACGTGGATGCTGGAGTGCATTGGCGCCGGTGTCAGCAACGGTGCCGCTAATCAGACCAACTTCGTCGAGTACTTCCAGAGCAGCCCATACAACCAGCAGTTGCAGGCCAACATGGCCAAGGAGGGCATCACTGTCCCGTCGCCGGACCTCCCCGAGATGGTCTTTGGCAAGAAGCGTGCAGCCAACTCGATGACGCAGATGAAGTTTGTCGTGTGGCGCTACATCCAGATGTACTGGCGCACGCCGACGTACAACCTCACGCGCATGTACCTGGCCGTCTTCTTGGCTATGCTGTTTGGCTTGATCTTCGTGGATGTCGACTACGCGTCGTACTCGGGCCTGAACTCGGGCGTCGGTATGGTGTTCATGGCCGCGCTGTTCAACTCCATGATGGCTTTCCAGAGCGTGTTGCCGCTCTCGTGCTCCGAGCGCGCCCCTTTTTACCGTGAGCGCGCGAGTCAAACGTATAATGCGTTCTGGTACTTCGTCGGCTCGAGTCTCGCCGAGATCCCGTACTGCTTCGCCAGTTCGCTGCTCTTCACGGTGGTCTTCTACTGGTTTGTGGGCTTCCAGGGTTTCATGGCCGCTGTGCTCTTCTGGCTCATCCTGTCGCTCACGATCCTCATGCAAGTCTACATGGGCATGATGTTCGCGTACGCGCTGCCGAGCGAGGAAGTGGCCGCCATCATCGGCGTGCTCATCAACTCGGTCTTCATCCTCTTCATGGGCTTCAGTCCGCCGGCGTACGCCATCCCGTCCGGCTACAAGTGGCTCTACACCATCTCGCCGCTCAAGTTCCCCATGTCGGTCATGGTGGCGGTCGTCTTCGCCGACTGCGACGAGCTGCCGACCTGGAACGAGACGACGCAGGCGTACGAGAACATCGGCTCGAACCTAGGCTGCCAGCCCATGGCCAACGCGCCCGCCGACATTGGCCACATCACCATCAAGGAGTACACGGAGGAGTACTTCGGCATGAAGCACAGCACCATCGCGCGCAACTTCGGCATCGTGATCGGCTGCCTCGTGCTCTTCCGCATCTTGGGCCTGCTCGCGCTGCGCTTCATCAACCACCAGAAGAGATAGATACTCGACCGGTACAATAACATTTCATTGACTTTTTTTTTCAAGCCAAAATCGATCGCGAATTAACTCACTTAAATTATTGAAATTATTGCGAAGCAGTTTTCATTTGAATCATTTCCCTGCAATTTTGTCAATGTATTGAATTTGATTAAGTCGATAATTAATTATTTTCCCGGATATGATTAACTATAATAATTGGTAAAACATCCTGGATATGATTTACTAAAATAATTGGTAGTAAGTATTATTTATTTATTATTTTTATTCATTTACACTGTAAACATAGGTAAAAGGATACACTGATAACAATATAAATTATAGACAATGCTCCACGATTATTATTTTGAAAATTGAAATAATAAAAATAATGTTTTTCAAAACAACAGACTCATTTCGAATATCTAACAGCATGCTCGCTCAGTATTTGTTTACTTCTTTTGGTGGTTGATGAAACGCAGCGCCAGCACAATGATGCCGATCAAAATGCCGAAGTTGCGCGGGATCTTGTCGTGTACGAAGCCAAAGTACTCCTCCGTGTACTCCTTGATGGTGATGTGGCCCACGGTCTCCGGAGCATTGGCCATCGGCTGGCAGCCAAGTTGAGATCCGACGTTCTCGTACGCCTGGGTGGTCTCGTTCCATGTCGGCAGCTCGTCGCAGTCGGCGAACACCAGAGAGATCAAGATCGACATGGGGAACTTGACTGGGCAGATGTCGTACAGCCACGTGTAGCCCGACGGGATCGCGTAGGCCGGAGGACTGAAGCCGACGAACATCATGACGATCGGGTTGAACAGCACGCCGACGATTTGAGCGACCTCCTCAGACGGCATGGCGTACGCGAAGAACTGACCCAAGCACACCTGCATCACGACGAGCAACGACACGCCCAGCCAGAAGAGGATGAACGTCTCGAAACCGGAGAAGCCGACCATGAAGAAGAAGATGATCACGAAGATCAGCGAGCTGATGAAGCAGTACGGGATCTCCGCCAGCGTCGAGGCCATGAAGTACCAGAACGCATTGAAAGTCTGACTTGCGCGCTCACGGTAACAAGACTCACGCTCGGCGCACGTGAGAGGCATCACGCTCTGGAAGACGGCCATCGAGTTGAACAGCGACGACATGAAAACCATTCCGACGCCCGAGTTCAGGCCCGAGTACGAAGCGTAGCTGTCGTTGCTGACGAAAATGAGCCCGAAGAGCAGGCCCAAGACAACAGCGAGGTACATCCGCGTCAGACTGTAGCTCGGTGTTCGCCAGTACATCTGGAAGAATCGCCATACAACAAACTTCATCTGGGTCATCGAACTGGCCGCGCGCTTCTTGCCAAACATCACCTCCGGGAGGTCTGGAGCAATAGGTTGTACGGACTGTTCTTGAAGTAGCTCACGAAATCCATCGAGTCCTGCGTCCCATGCCCCAATGCACTCCAGCATCCACGTCGCAGGGTTGTAGCCCTTTGGGAGCGGAGCTACACCAGGGATGTTCTCGAAGGAGTCGATCAGGTTGCGGCAGTTCGGACCTAAGTCACCGTAGAAAGCCGTTTGGCCACCGCGCTGCACCAGCAATAGTCTGTCGAACAGGTAGAAGACCTCGGCCGACGGCTGGTGGATCGTGCAAATGATGGTGCGGCCCGAGTCGGCCACCTTACGGACACCGTCCATGATGATCTTGGCCGAACGCGCGTCCAGGCCACTCGTCGGCTCGTCCAGGAAAATCACACTCGGCTGAGCAGCAAGCTCCACACCGATCGTCAGTCGCTTCATCTGCTCCACGGAGCTGCCGCGGATGATCTGGTCTGCGATGTCTTCAAGTCCGAGCAGTTCGATGCATTCGTCCACGGAGTCGTACTTCTTGGCGTCCGAGATCGATGCATCCTGGCGCAGGAAAGAGCTGAAAGTCAAGGCCTCGCGAATCGTGGCCGCCTCCGAGTGCACGTCCATCTGCTCACAGTAGCCCGTGCAGCGGCGAATGGCCAGGTCAGTCGCCTCATAGCCGTTCAGCATGATCCTGCCCGTGATCTTGCCACCAGTCTTGCGGCCGGCGATCACGTCCATTAGCGTCGTCTTACCGGCACCAGTAGAGCCCATCAGCGCAGTGATCGAACCGGGGACAGCGTAGCCGTTGATGCCCTTGAGCAGCTCGAGTTGCTCCTTCGGGTTGTGAGGGTCCGGCACCCAGTAGTGCAAATCCTGGAATGCCACAGTCACCGGGATGAAGTTCTTCTCACGAGTCTCGACAGGTAGATCCACAATCACGTCGCCCTTCGAGTTTGCCGCCTTTGGAGTCTCCGTGAGGAAGTACGAGTTGTTCTCATCCTCGACAGGCTTCACCGACACATCCACCGTTTCCGGTGTTTCGTAGCGGACGTACTCCATCGCCAGGTACGACAGGAACATCAAGAAGACGTACACGGCCAGTAAGTAGATGATGGCGTACGCGACCCACTCCTTCTCCGTGGCGATACCGAACAAATTCAGGTAGTACTCGCCCATGTTAAGGCCGTCGTACTTGGCGCAGTAGTCCACGCCGTCGTACACGCACACGTCGAAGTCGCTGGAGCGGTACTGGTTGATGGCCAGCGCCTTGAGAGCCCACGCAATTGGGCTAATCCAATGCGCCCAGATGAGGTAGTCGGGAATTTGGCACTTGGTCACGACGAAGCCCGCGAAGATGATGAACACGAGGATCGAGACCATGCCCACCGGCATCACCACGTTGGCGTCGGGCAGCGCTCCAGCGAGGAAGAAGAACCACATGCCCATGGCCAGGTTCGACACGAACAGTACGATCTCGAAGATGATGAACAGCTTCTCTTCGGCCGCAAAACCGCAGACCCAGTACACGATCGAGCCGAATATAATCGTCTCGGCGAATGCCAACGGGATCTGGCTCACCGTTGTGGACAGCACATACGACCCGGTTCGGAAGAAGTTGGCTCGGCGATGCTTGTAGAAAATGTCTCGCCCAGCGATGTAGACGGGAATCTGGGAGCCTTGGCCGAGAGACAAGAACATGACGGTGGCGAAGATCACTCCCATGACCACGGAGATCTGCGTCGGGTCGAACTGGTAGAAGATGGAGCAGTACAGTAAGCCCATGATGAGGACCATCATGAGTCGACCCACGACAAAGGGCACGTTCCGGTACGTGATCATCAGAGCCCGTCGCTGAAGCGCCCAAACACTTGCCAGAACTGACTGGTGGAATGCAGGCATCGGGTCCATGATGTCCTTCACACTCGCGATGAGCTTCGGGTCGTACGGACCTTCCACCGCGCTCACCATATCCTGGTAAATAGGTGACAGACGGAAGCTCTCCCCGAATTCGTTTGGCATTCGCGGCTGCTTCGTCGGGTGCGGGACTTCGTAGCGGTGCTGCTGCTTGGTACCCAGATCCAGCAGGTAGTCGGCGATGTCGCGTCCCGGGGACACTTGAACCCCAGCGTCTCGAAGTATCCCTCCACCTTGTCACATGCTCCGTGATACATCAGCTCTCCATCGTTCAGGATCATCACGTCGTCGAACAGCGCGAAAATCTCCGGTGAAGGCTGAAGCAGTGCAATGACCACCGTCTTGTGGAGTCGGTGGGCCACACTGCGCTGCGTGTTGATGATGTCGTACGTGGCGGCACTGTCGAGGCCCGTGCTGATCTCATCCATGAGCGACACGTACTTCATACCGAACTCCATTTCACCAGTCGTAACGCGCTTGCGCTCACCTCCAGACACACCGCGCAGCATGTTGTCACCGACGATTGTATCCTGACAGATCTGCAGTCCCAATTGCTCAATTACGACGTCCGCGTAGTGTGCGAATATGGCCTTCGCCGCTTCCAATGCCTCGTGGTCATTGTGTTGGGAGCCCATGTCCAGCATGCCCTTGCCTTGCTTGATTACGTCACCGCCGCAGAACTTGTTGGCAAACTCCAGTGTCTCCTTGACTGTAATGGTCGGGAAGTGCTTGTCGCGCTGGTTCACGTACGACACGAACTGCGGCAGCTTGTCAATGATCTGTTCTCTTGGTACGCCGTTGAACGTGACGTCACCCTCCATGGTGATGTTCTTGGTCATGGGGAACCGGCCGCTCAGGATCTTCATTAGAGCCGACTTGCCGGAGCCCGGTTGACCCAGCAGCAGCGTGATCTTGCCCGGCGCGAAGCGGCCACTCACGTTCTTGAAGATCTCCTTGCGCACCGTGAGCTTCTTGGGGCCCATGAGCGTCTTCTTGAGCTCGTTCGGGATGGTCGGCAGCTCGTACTTGGTGGCGTGGTCGTCGGCCACGACGATGTCGGCGGACAGCGATAGGTTGCTGAAGCGCACCTCCATCTCCGGCAGGGGGCGGCCCATTGCCGCGTGGATCTTGGTGGCCATGAGTTCGTGCAGAGCCTGCGGGCCTTGGGCCATGAGGTTCTTGCCCGACTCGTAGCTGAGCTCGGGTCTGTGGGCACCCGAGGAAGAGGACGAATCCGTGTCGTTCATGGCAGCTTTCCCTGGTAGATTTTGACTCGGTGAGTCGGAGGCAGGAAATTCCAGAATGACGAGTGCTGGGGTCGATGTGCAGGCTACCATGGGCCTAGTGGTGGCCCTACAGAGCTGTATACGGCGCGTAGTGCTGCATGGGTCAAAGGTACTCGCGGTAAGTATGTGGGCGACATAGCTCACGCCGTTGTTGAAGTGGTACGACTAGCACAATCATGGCGGACCCAAAACAAGCTCGTGGAAGAACTGACTGATACAAAGTCAAGTGATTCGAGTAAGTACGGTGTGCATAGAACCTAAATTAATCAGTATTGGGTTCTCGTTGCCCCATTCAAGCGAGCGACATCGGACGACTTGAGAGTAGGAAAACTAATCTGTGGTACGAACCGTCCGCACGCCCGCGGGACAGATCAAAGCTTGATATTTCAAGCTGCGAAGCGCCACCGCATCCACAGTGCCGCAGCAAGGGTAGTGTTGTTTTTTGGAGTTGACTTCAACGACATAATAGCAAATGAGAAACGCAAATAGATTGTGAGCGCACCCCGCGATACTTAGTCTCTTGGCACAGGAAGGTTGGTTGGAGCATGTTAAGCGAGCACTGCCAGCGCGTTCTGGTCGTGGGCGAGCATACTCGACAAGATCGAACAGATCGACGTTCACTGGATCGTGAAATTCGTGGGTAAGTCAGCGCCGGTTGAAAGTCCCAGAAGCAGGTGGGTATCAAACTTCAGGACAGTTTCACGTACAATATCGATGTGGGCGTCAGTGACAGGAAACTCATCGTTTACGCGTTGCTCTAACCGGTCCTGGCGGAACCGTAGTGCCGGAGACAGTCGAACCAGCACGATGTTCTGTACTCCGGGGTAGTGGCGCCAAATTATTGCTTTGCGATTCAGCCCAGGGCACCCGACACTGACGCCGATCTCCACCTTCACCGTGTCAAATTCATCCCAATTCAGCCCACCTGGTAGAACTGCACCAACAACGTTTGTATTCGGTCCGAAGCTGCAATCCGGCTCCCATAGCCGTTCGCCCGCCACACCAACTGGAGGCTCGTCAACAGTAGATACGTGCCCATGGCAGTCCCCGTCCCGACAAGCATCGCTGTATTGAATCGAGAAACGACCCTCTCATGAACTCTGCCGGGAAACTCCACGATCCAAATTGTCCCGTCTCGCCACTCCATGAACCGTGAGTTGAGTGCTTGTCGTTCAGATCTGACGTAGCGGTGCCAGCCTCCAGTGAAGCTGTGTATAGCTCCACTTCGGCGGGGTGGTCAAGGCCATCGTCGCGGAGAAGTAAGGTCTTGACTTCGTCCCAGCCCAGGAGCCTGATGGCATTGTTGATCCTGCATGCTTCTCGCTGAGAAAGTGTTCGCCACACTTTTTTTTCCAAAAAAAGTTAAGGATTGAGTTATTGTGCTTTGCACGAACTTTGGCATGCGATTAAGGGCTCTAAACCAACGAGCAAATCCTTCCCGGTGATCATATCTCGCAGCCTAACTCTAAGTTAAAGTTAAGCTAATCAACCGCCAGTACCAGGCACAACGCAGAGCAAGAACGGAGCGGTTGCCACTGCAAGAATAAATCGGTTGTCGCTGCAAGAAAGCAAACTGATAAGGTCCCCGATAGAATGGCGCCAACTCCTTGCATAATACAGTAAGCACCGATTTCGGCGGGGACGTTTTCTTTCGCTCTCTTCGTCGTGGCCTTGCGCGTTAAACCAAGCTCGAATTTCAGAGCACGGCATATAGTAGCAGTAGAAAATTTCTACTAGAAATGTTTGGTAGTGCAGGAAACGCTGACTTTAAAGCTGCTTGCAGATCCTCGATATAAAAACAGGGATGTTCTTCAATGTAGACGTAGTTTAGTACGATAGATCGCCAACGCATGTCAATCATCGACTAGAAAGCAATCAGACAAAGCGAGCGAGTTAGAATTAGAATGTCAGCGCCGTAGTATTGTCGGATTTACTCCAGCCATTCAACGAAAGTGAGCAGAACTCAACGTTAACTCGTTGTCTTAGCAGCTATTCTATCTTAAATCGACGAATTAGCCTCCTAACTCAATGATGGGCTAATCACCGTGATTTGCTAAAACAACGAATTATGTCGTTGTTTAGACAGAAAGCATGCAAGACACAAGAAAAAAGATTGACAATAATGTGAGGGACCAGCAGGAGGTGAGACTGAGTTGTAATCACACTATTACACATTCGTGTTATCTTCTTGAAGTTATCTACAGGTTGCCAAACTCACTTTTTCTGGTGGTTGATGAAGCGCAACGCCAGCGCGGCCCAGATGCGGAACAGCACGATGATGCCGAGCGTGATGCCGAAGTTGCGCGCGATCTGGTGGTGCTTCATGCCGAAGTACTCCTCCGTGTACTCCTTGATGGTGATGTGGCCCACGGTCTCCGGAGCGTCGGCCATCGGCTGGCAGCCGAGCTGCGAGCCCACGTTCTCGTACGACTGGGTGGCCTCGTTCCACGTCGGCAGCTCGTCGCAGTTGGCGAACACGAGCGCGATGAGGTTGGCGATGGGGAACTTGAAGGGGCAGATGTCGTACAGCCACGTGTAGCCCGACGGGATCGCGTAGGCCGGAGGGCTGAAGCCGATGAACATCATGAAGATCGAGTTGAAGAGGATGCCGGTGATCTGAGCGACCTCCTCCGACGGCATGGCGTACGCGAAGAACTGGCCCAAGTACACGAACATCAGCACCAGCAGAGCGGACTCGAGCCAAAACACCACAGCCGTCCAGAACCCCGTGAAGCCCACGAACCAGTAGAAAACGACGGTGAACAGCAGCGAGCTGACGAAGC